CTCCCCCTTTTTGTTCTCCACATACTCCTCCTTTCAGACTCACCATTTCCTCACTTACCTCCCTTATTTCTACTACACAAACCCTCCCCAGGTCCACCGCTACCCTTTTGATAACCATCCTACCTATCCACCTATTGACCCCCGCCCTCAACCGCTTCTTTCTTTACCCTATCCATATCCCACTGCTACCTCAGTTCTGCCTACCACTCACTCAAACAACCACTCAACTTTGGCCTCTAACCCTAGAACTTTGCCCCTCCCTTCACTACCCATAGACCTCTACCCCTCCAACCATGCCCTCCCCTTGGCGGGAACTGAAACTAAAACAGAGCCCCTCGAGATACCATCCATGGCAATACCTGACTCTGAGTCACCCGAGGACTCAACAGCACCCATATCTCCCGCTCAGGCTGGCGACGAGGCCGAGGAGGTAGACAAAGATGGGACAAATAGGGAAGAAGATAGGATGAGAATGATGTACAGACTTATGGAGTTTGAATACGAAGGTCCCAAAGGACCTGCTCACAAATTCATCACAGCTAATGCACAGAGCAGGATGCAGGTGAGATTCAGAGGACAAAGAGAACTTTGTAACCATTTTTCCTCTTTATCTTTTACTGGAAAGCCTATAGACTGTCCTTCCTCTCCTTTCACCATTGATCGTCCAAGGAGGTCCCCCAGATTAGCCTCCTCTTCCTTGATTATCTCTAAAAGATGAAGATGCTTATTTGGAATGTGAGAGGGCAAGGACAATCCTCTAAGAAGGATACAGTCAAAGCCTTCACCTCCAAGCTCTCTCCTACCATCCTTGCCCTCCTTGAAACCAAACTACCAGACCCTGACTTCCAACTCATTCGCCAGGTATGGAGAAGAAGACCACGCCAGTGGGTCTCACTATCGGCGAATGGGGCCTCAGGAGGTATATGGGTGGTCTGGGACACCTCTGACCTTACTCTAAACTCTCATTATATAAGGGAATTTTCTGTGACTCTTCTCCTCTCTAGCATCTCAAATGGGGTCCCATGGAAATTCTCGACTGTCTATGGGCCAAACTCACAAACTCTCAGGAACAAGCTTTAGGCAGAACTGAACCATGTAGCGTCCCTACCACACCCCATTTGGTGTGTGGGAGGCGACTTCAATGTTGTCTGATGGTCTTATGAGAGGAATTCATCAACATCGATCTCCCAGGAGATGAGGGATTTCTCAGATTTTATCAGCCGAAATGAATTGATCGATATTCCTCTTCAAGGTTGTCAGTATACATGGTCTAACCACTCTTCTAATCCCACCCTTTCTAAATTAGAAAGATTCCTCCTTTCAATAAATTGGGAGGAACACTTTCTGATATCTTTATCTTTGGCCCTACCTAAACCAACGTCGGACCACTGTACCATTCAGATTTGAACTTCATTGGCTCCAAGAAGAGTCCTTATATACCCTTGTTCAAACCTGGTGGAATTCTTTTGCTTCCCAGATTACATCCTTTAGGTTAAAATCCAACTCCTTAAATCAGCTCTCAAAACTTGGAGTAGTTCCATCCCCAGTAACTTCTCCCACATTAAGTCTTCATTGTTAGAAACCATCAAGAATTTGGACCTTCTCGAGGAAACTAGATCTCTGGATGCCTCAGAGCAAGAACTCAGATCTAAGACCAAACTGGAATACTTTTCTACTGTCAAGAAAGAAGAGATCTACTGGTTCCAGAGATCAAGAGGCTCCTGGTCGTAGAAGAGACAATACTATCTCTATGATCAAAGAAACAACTGCTACCTAACCCAACCAGGAGAAATAGAGCAGGCAATCATAGAGTTCTTTCAGACTCTATACTCTGCTCCTTCTGGCCCTAGACCGAGAATGTCATCCCTTGATTTCTTAACACTCACTGAAGACCAAGCTGTCTGGTTAGAGCGACCCTTCACAGAAGAAGAAATTCTACAAGCTATCAATGCTCTAGCCAAAGACAAGGCCCCCGGACCCGACGGATTCCCGATTGCCCCTTTCAAGGCTTAGTGGGAAGTTTTCCGTCCTGACTTCCTTCTTTTCTTTGAGGAATTTTTCCAACGGGGAACCCTCCACAAAGCCTTGAATGCCACCTTCCTAGCACAAGTTCCTAAAGTAGAAGGAGCTGAGGAAATAAAAGATTTCCACCCAATCAGTCTTCTTAACTCCTCCTACAAGATTCTAGCAAAAGTACTCGATTCTGACAAGATTTTGGAAAGAAATTCAAGAATCTTTCAAGGCTTAAAACTCCATATACCGGCACTCTTTCACAAGGTAATCTCTCTGGTCACCTTTTGGGCCTCAAGCCACAAGGCCTTTTCGAGTATCCCAGGGAGTTTCTTCCTTACCCAATGGAATAATGTCCTCCATCATCAACCGCAATTGGTAACAAGGCCTAATAACTGACAACCTCCTCCAGAAGGAAGAATCAAGTTAAACTTTGATGGGTGTTCCTAGGTAATCCTGGCCCAGCAGGGGCAAGGGGGTCTTTAGAGACCACGAAGGCAATATCCTCCAAACACTTTCTGAGCACCTGTGCCTTAAGGACTCCCATCACACAGAAGCCTTGGCCCTCTTAATAACCTTGAAAAACTTCAATCATAGTGGAAGGTGACTCACAAAATGTCATCTCCTGGGCAAGTAGAACAAGCTCTCCACCATGGCACCTAACTCCAATTTTTGACGTAATTCATCACATTTGCAAGGCTATGGACCTCTCCTGGAAGCATATATGGAGGGCGTCCAACGACTACGCAAATCGTTTGGCGAAAGAGGGAGCTAGAAGTCAAAGACAAGAAGCTCAAGCCGGGTCCACCTTTTTTATGCTGGACCAGTGGCACATAACTTAAACCTCTTTGTAGGCATTTTTTTCACTACTGGCTTTTTGAAAGCTCAATGTAAATCAATGTAATTGGGCGACTTCTATAAGCCCATTTTGTACATGATAAACTAAACGAATTTTTTACCGAGTCACCAAGTGTGGGTGACATCAGACTCTCATATCCATGTAGTCTTTTTTCTCATCAATACAATGTTAACTTTTTCTCAATATTCGCCCCTTAAAAGAGGGAAAAGGGGTTTTGGTTGCAAATCTATCCCCCCATACCCATGTGCGCCAAGTGCCACCCAAAAAATAAAAAAACATAAAATCCCTTAAAAAATTAAAAAAAAATAATGAAAGCCTATAAAAATACCTTAGGACTCAAGGCCCTTCTCTCTCACTCACAGTCCTGTGTGCTATCTCTCTACATATAAGAAGAAGAAAAAAAATAAGATGCCCCCCAATTGTTCAATGCGAGGCCTCTTTCTCACACAGTCATACACAAACATACATGGACCCATATGCTCTTGCTCTACATATAATAAGAAGAATACGAAGAAGATGACTCCGAGTCTTCGATTTGGGGCCCCCCTCTCTCACATACTCATACTCTATCTCTCTTTTTTTTCTTTAGAATTCATACTCTATCTCTCTTTACATATAAGAAGAGGCAAAAATAATAACATGTCCTCCAAGCATTCAATATGAAACCTCTCACACACACACACACACATGGGCCAATATACTCTCTTACACACACACAAACAGATGTCCCACAACAACCCGCCCCCTTCCCCCAGCCCCTCCCCTCCCCCCACGTTCTGTCTGGGCACCAACCCAGGAGGCCACCTCCATATTTTTTAACATTGCCACTACCTATCTAAGAAGCCAAGATTAGTTTGCATCACTCACAAAGGCAACCAGAGGATCATGTTCCACATCAATGTGCAAGTTAAACTAACAAGCTCTGAAGAAGTATACGGAGTACCATTCTACCAGCTCTTTCTGATTTATTATTCTAAAAGGGCATTTATGTCATCGGCCATGGGAAAACTCATTCACCATATTAGATTTCAATTACCTCTTGAAAATATATCCTTTCATTTGTCTAAAGTTACAATATTTTTGTCGTTTAGATATGCAAGGTCAAGCACAAGTATAACTAGTTCCAAGTAAGCAATAAGGGATGCAATTGCAAGGTGCAACATTTGGCTGATTGATCACTATCTAGGGGGAAGGTAGCATGGGATCCTCTAGGCAAGGACAAAGTGAATAAATTCAAATGTAGATGTAGGTCTGAAAGCAAGAGCATAAGCCCAAGTGGCTTTCCATTTATACATGTTCTTGTGTTGTGATTGCATTAGTTAACAAGCCTCAATTTTGCAAGATTGTAAATATAGAGACCACATCACTCTCGAATGCGAGATTTAATTTCTCAAGGTTGGTGGGTGGGATACGGTCTCCATGCAATAAATTGACGAAATTCAATTCAACAAATAAAGTATAGATACTTGGAAACAGACTGAAATAGTATGCTCATAGTTTATCCTATGGAGCACTCCATAACTCCATGAAATTTGATCATAACAATTTCCTTCTTCTTGAATTTCAAGTTATGAAGGCATAATTCAATGGTAGTGTCTCCAAATCCCACAAATGTCAGAAGAGATTCTGGCTTGCACTTTAGTCTACATCCATGCAACAAAGAACTCATGATAATTTATCCCAAAAAAAATCATGATAATTGTTCAAATATAATCTGTGGGTTTTTTTTTTTTTATTTGAGTTTTCCACAAACTACACAAAGTCGACGCAGATTGACATGTATATAAGGAACAGCTTAACCTTGGTTGTTTCAACATTTTTAATAAGCCAAATCTCTAATAGATCGGCAGATTCTATTGGGGCAACTCGGGACGGGACCCTGCTGTGTCTCGAATCCGAGCCATCTTTTAGAACATTGACTATTGACTATTGACTATTGGAGCCCACGATTAATGATCCCAACATAAACATTCAAAAAAGAAGTTGATCCCATCATAGGTTTGTTCCAGTATGATTCAAGAAACATGTCAACAAATAAAGAACAGTGATGAATTTGAAATGCACATCAGCAGAGTTTAGTGTTACATGATTTTGACTGAAAGGAAACAAAAAAGAAGCCATGGTAATGTACCTCCAGCCCGACACAACTCAAATGAAATGAAGAGGGACAGCGATCGCATAATATTAAATCTCCTCCATAATGGCAGATGCTGCATATCTTGTCACTTAAGCAATGGGGAGTGGTCTTCAGCTGGCCAAATGATTGTGATCTAAAGACGGATAAAAGTTCACTTTGGCATTGTAACAGGGACCTTCCATCTTGTAAGAAGATGCAGGCAGATAGTCCCTTCTGCTTAGCCCTGCTACCCCCACCAGCATGGGCCCCAAAACCAGATGGAGAATAAACCTGCTTGCAACATTTACACATAATGCCTTTTCGAGTTATCCATCCCCGTGCCATCACATGCCCGTCCTTTTCGCTTAAGAAACACACACTCTGCCTCAATAACAATGCCTTGTTATCTATCATCCATGAGAACACACCCAAATTGCCCGAACATGGTGACATCTGACCTCTTGGGGCTCCCTTCGAGTGACCGCCATCTGTACTATGCTGGAGCGAAAGCCTCTCCTCTTTAGGTTCACCACACCTTCTCTTTCTACTGTAAAAATCAGTAGCATCATTTTTTCTCCTCTTTTTACACCCTTGCCTAGATCTCAAGTTGGAATGTCGCAGGTCACCATATGAGTCATTTTTCTGTGAAGCCTGACCCCAAATCTCCTTCCTCTTGTGCCATGTCCTGGGTTTCTTCAAATCACCACATGATTGTTCCTCTAAAGATATCATGAGCCCAAACTCTGTTTCTTCAACATGGGAACCATGTTCCTGAATTGAGCTCTCAGTTATCAAACCCCCCTCCCCTTCATTGTCACTATCTGTTGCTGCTTGTTCTTGCCTTGCACATACCAAAATAGCTGTATGCAAAGAATAGTAACGCTCTCTATTGGGTGAGACATAGTAGAGGAACTTCCCTGCTTCCGTTACCTGACACTTGATCCTCCAACCCACAGCAAGGAGATGTCTTCTCGCTCGTTCCCTAACCGGAAAAAGACACCCCTTAAATCCCTTCTCCCCAAACTCAACCATGTACTCCTTTATTGCCTGAGGGCAGTATTCAGATTCAAAAGCCCTGCGCACTATTTCCCTCGATCTGCCCTGAGGTTCTCTCTCTCCATTACTTGTGCCATTGTTCCACGATGAAATTTCCAAACCTATCTCCAATAATTCTCTCTGTCCATAACTAGTACCATCAGGTTCTTTCTTAGAAACTTTCAGAGCTCTCTTTGATGCTTCTCTCATTCCATGACCACTGCCACCATTTTTCTCAGAGGAAACTTCCAGAGCTCGTTTTGATGCTTCTTTCTCAACTTGACTAGTCCCATTTTGTTTCAAGGAAACGTCTTTCAAAGCTACCTTTGATGCTTCTTTCTCTCCATGACTAATAGCATTCTGCACCAGTGATAGTTCCGAACCACAAATTTGAAGAATTCCAGCTTGCTCCTGGAGCATTATCTCTTGAACAAGAGGGGCCCACTTGCCCAAGTCCCCACAGGTCCATTCTGGAATCTCCCTTGAGAACTCCATTGCCATCCTTAGCCTGAACCAGATATTCTTGATCACCAAAGAGGAGGAGGAGGAGGTGGAATGGGCCAAGTGCTTCTTTTTTCTTTTGACAGAATGGCCCAAGAGATTCTTGTTATGATCGAACAACTCGATCAAGAACCAACAACCACGTGGTACCCACTGGCCAGTGGCCTCATCCCAATCACATGTGACCCGCAATTTCTCGACACCAAACCTCAGTTCATCTCCCTCATCTGGAAAGAACACTGATTTCTCAGAGGCCGACTTGCCAGCCAAAATGACACCCTCCCACCATGCATCTTCAAACATGGCATCCACACACATGCCATACAGAAGCTTCTCATCATCATCATGGGGTGGTGGGGGGGGTCTAATTCGACCCCGATAGTTATGCAGGCCAAAGCCAGGGTCGCCGCCAATTGCATTCACAACAGAAATCCATTCTATCAGCTTTGAAGAGCCCTCTTGGTTCAGGAGCTCATCATATTCTACACAATGTTTCGATCCACGAGCAGATGTGATCACACCAGGATGCCAGGACCCTCTAAGCCCTTCATCCAACTGCCTAACCTGACAATAACCCGCCCACTTATATTTCAATATCAAAAATTTCTAGATAAAACCCTATGTAGCAATGCAACAAGAAGAAATGAATAAAATATTTATTGCAGAGAAATAATGGAGGAAGAACCAGACTACTGTAATGCTCACTACACCAAAAGGATTCAACTCACGGTTCCCCAAATGCCAACCCAACTTACCTACACCAAAGAAAACGTCAAAAGATAAAGAAAACGCAGGACAAGTTTACCAGGAGGACCATTCCCAATATTACTATCTAGCAACTCGAAAGACGAAGAAAAAGTCATGGTTGAGGAGATTCTCAGAGTACCCATGTAAGTTCTTTGCTAAAAAAAATGAATACATTTGGGAAAAAGCATTGAGAGAGAGAGAGGGCACCTCAACTTTTTGACCCACAAGAAGCTTTCCTTTCTTCAACATAATGAGAGAACCTACTCACTCTTGCAGCATGAGAGAGAGATAAAACCCTCTATCTGAGGAAACCTCGGCACAAATAAATCCTGAGGAGAAGAAAGAGAAAGGAGGGAGAAATTTTGTGTTATAAGGAAAAAACTGGACATCACAGCCCTAGCAAATGAGGGTTTTTTTCCATCTCTAATCTCGCTGGTTTTAGAGAGAGAAAGAGAGAGGGAGAAGAGAGAGAGAGGTGGTGATTTGAGTGCCGGCACGAGAGAGGGAAGGCGAAGAGTATAAAGTTGGAAAGATGGGTACACGCTTCCCATGCGACGGCTAAACGGACATCCCATGCAGAAAGCTGTTTTTTGAGAATGGTACCTCCTCAACGAGCATGTTCTTTCCAAAAACAAAAAGGATCACCGATTTTGGCAAAATATTTTGTACACTCGCGGGAGTATACTGCCCTCTTGCATCCTCTTTAAATGATAGACTAATCTTGAGGAAATAATTTTCTAAAAGTTATGTCTGCCTAAAATAATAATACCTCAAGATTGAATGGGGACCGTCCAATTCTTGGAATGCTAAATCTAAATGATGGAGATCTCAAAATGTATAAAAATAATAATAATAATAATAATTAAGTGGTTCCCAAAATTTGATGTCAAAAAAAAAATAAAAATCTCCTGAATAAGTCTTTTGCACTTATCTATTTTACTCTCATTTCTGCCTATAAAATAAAGAATCAAAAAGGTCTCACTTGTTTTTGTTGTTTTTCTTAAATAGGCAATGATGTCTTGAACGTACTAATTTTCAATCCAAATGGGACTCTACAAGACCGAACCAGTTCTGGGATGTACGAGTCCTGACCCACCTCCCCCCAAAATCCCCTTCTTATATTTTTTCCCTTTTTAAACTTGTCTTATATTTTTTTTTAAGTCTCCTTCAATCCCCACCTTATAAACCTTTAAATTTATTTTTATTTATTTTCATATTTTTTAGATCACCGATTCAGATCGATCCAAATCACTAGTCTAGTGATCCGACATGTATTTATGGGTGAATGATCTTCCCCACCTATTCATATTTTAAAACATTGGTAAGTAAGATAAACATCATGCTTATCGTGGTAAAAAACAACAATTATTTTTCGTTGTTGGATGAAAAATGAGGTATGGGGTGTATTATCGATTGAATTCAAAGGCAAACAAAAGAAAATTATAACACAAATTGCAATCATGCTTTACATCAAATGGCTCATAATCATTGTAACCTTCTTGTACGATTTATAAATTATCTTATAATAACATTAAGAAAAATTTTGTGATAAAAAAAATAATTGGTTCTTCCAAAAATTTGTCATTCTCAACTAGATCGCTTGAGTGAAACTATCACTTAAGGAAAAGAGAAATTTGGGTGTTGTCAAAAACAAAAAAGAAAAAAAGGAGAGAGAGAACTCCGGGCAACCACTTCTCGACCTATTTATAATGGAAGACCTATACATTTTTTTTAAATTTCCGTACAAAAAGATTTATTATCTTTTCTAAAGTTGAGTTGTGTACCTTCTAGATTTTGACGGTTTTTCATGGTACAAAGGTTATTTCTCTCTCTATAAAAATTATGCAAGAGGGAATGAATATTTTGAGTAGGGCTAGGAATAGGTAGGGTCAGGTTTATGTCATGCCCAACCAAATAATATATAAAGCAGGCCCATACCAATCTACCTAGACCCAAATCTGATTGCCTCGGGGCTTTCAAGCACAAGGCACCCCGGACCTGACCTATATCAAACTCATGAATCCAAGTCATATTAGGTCGACCCGATTGTCATCCATCATGGTATTGAGAGCTAAGAGGATTTATTTTTTAAATTTAATTTTTTTAATTTTATATACATATATATTAGAGTTAACAACCCCTAAAATAATATAAGTTAAAGTTAGAATCTATTGTGAGTGTTTTATTTACCATCAATGTCCTTGCATAGCTACTTTATAAACTAAGTTGAAGGGAAATAAAGTTTTTTGACACAAAGTGAAAGAATGGATATATTTCTCTCTCTCATTCTTCTCTCTCTCATTCACCTATTTTCTCATCCTTTCATACGCTTGCTCTCTCTCTCCACGCCTCATGTCTCGAACTCTCTCTCATATGCTCCATCTCTCCCTCATCAGCCCTAAATATTTTTATCAACTTAGCAACGCCCTTTCTCTGTCTCTCATCCGGCCATCTCTATCGATCATAATCCACTTGACCAGCTACTAAACAACTATTGGTTATGTCTTCTTATTTAGAGATAAAGAATGTTAGGAGATGAGGAGGACACAAGGTATCAATTATAACTTAGGAGGAAAGAGAGATGTGCATCAAAAAATTAAAGGAAAAATGAAGAACACAGATCAATAGATCGATTGGGTGAAGATCACAAATCAATACTCAATTGGGTCATTGACAGCTCGGAGAAACAGAAAGATCAGCAACATTCAAGCAGGCATACCAAAGAGAGACAAGGTGTGCCAAGTGAGATAGAGAGAACCAACAGAAAAATTCAAATCGGGGTTTTTTGTATGAGAGAGATAAAGGGAAAAAGAGAGGGTGTGCTATGAGAGATAGAGAGAACCAAAAGAAAATTTCAAATGGGGGTCTTCCGTGTATGAGATAAAGAGAGTAAGATGACGAGAGGGATTTCTGGCTTAGCAGAAATCGAAGAGTAGAGAATGGCATCTAAATAATGAGAAGATAGGTTGATGAGAGAGAGAGAGGTAGAAAGAGATAGAAGGGCAGATGAGAGACACATGTAATATCATGAATTAGTTTCATTTTTCATCATTCGTACGAAAAGACAAAACTATCCTTTTAGTTTAGCTTTGGCTTTGGTTGTGCAAGTATATTGATGGTAAAAAAAACATTTACAAGGGATTCTAACTTTAACTTATGTTATTTTAGGGATTAACTCTAAAAAATCCCTATATATAT